ACCATGAAGATCAATATAAAGAATATTTTAATTCTAGAGTAATAAAATACAATAATTCTCAGGACTAAGGTCCAGTTCAGATGTTCTGCCTCTGCTGTGTCAAACTAAATTCAGGAATAAAGTGCAACAACAGCACAGCAGAAGCACAGCGTCTGAATCAAACTTTTGCATTAAGTTTGACAAGCGCTTAAGTTTGACAAACTCTGCAGTGCTACACAACTCTTGCACAGCAGTGATTCAAACGTAGTGCATCTGTCGTGCCAAACAAAATTCACAAATTATATTACTGTGTTTTGGCAAGATTACGTTCCCAGAGGAAGTTAGGAGAAGAACTGTTACGGGGCATCAATAAATCCTGAATTTGGTTTGACTCTGGCATGGCGTCTGAATCAGAGTTGTTTTTCTGCCATGCGACAGACCAAAATTTACTTCAGTTTGGTACGGCACAAGCATGATGTCTGAACTGGGCCTATAATACTTTAATAAATTTATATAAAAAGTTTTGTTTTCATTGCTGGCGTGCATTAAATGTGGCTTAGTAAATCTTTTGAAGTAATTATTAACCTCTTACTAACCGAGGACAAGGGCCATAGTAGGGAATATTGGCCCAAGGTTGCGGTAGTATGGACCTGAAGCAGCGAGGCTTGTACAAAAATGACTGAATGCCAATATTTCGCAGTACAGTTCAAGCCAGCTAGGTTGNTGGACCTAAAGCAGCGAGGCTTGTACAAAAATGACTGAATGCCAATATTTCGCAGTACAGTTCAAGCCAGCTAGGTTGATTTAGTAAGTAGCTTATTATACGGCACTCGGACCATTCTTGAATTTACCTGTTTTTGAAAACAAAACAAAAAAAAAGCTTATATCTGTTTGTGTGGAAATGGTCTCTGTGGCAAAATTTTGACAAAGAAAGAACCAATCAGAACGGGCAAATTTTCCTCAAGACTACTGTATCGAACTGGAACAGTGTGGAGACCATGAGCTGTCATTTGAGGCTTTGGTTTAATGATTATGTTACACAAAGTAAGAAATGATACAAAAAGATATATGTTTACTGATCTCGGGCAAATTTGAAACAACTGAATCATGAAAGGCTTAATTAAAGGTTTACAATTTCTGACGAAAACTGTGAAGGCGATATAAAATAGGGTCTAAGAAAGTAACACACAAGGAACAATAATCCGTTTGTATAAACAAAGAAACGGTTAGCAGTTACGTGGATGAGAACAACATGTTTAGCATATTAGCTCTTCTCTAAGACATATTGTGATGAAACTAATGAAAACAAAATACAATATAGTTCTTTTGTCTACAGTTTTTAGAATATTACATTACATTGATACATTTGATACAATCGTAACTCTATTATTTACAGCAAAAAACCAGGTTAATTTTTTTTTTATTACTTGGTGATGCATATTTGATAGCCTTCTGAATCCTGATGACTTCCATTAAAACTATTTTGCAAATCAAATTGCATTAGAACAACTGTACAAGTCAAAGATTTCAATTGTCAAAGTGTGGACATGGAGTTTCTCAACTCCAATATAGTTCAAGACCCATTTAAAACAACAGCCATTTTTTGCAATGAACAGATCAAAACTACCATCAAACTGAAGAAATATTCCATGAGAAAAAGAGGATAGAACCTATCTTCTTAAATATATACCAAGTTTAGGTTCTCAAACATAAAAGAGTTTCCTTCAATTACCTCATTTAAGTTTGCTCTTGAATTTGTTTGTTTTTATCCTACAGAAATGGCTGGGCACTTTGCAGCAAAAGTCAATGCCAAGGTGCTTGCTCTTTCACATTTTAGCCAGAGATATAAGGGAGATGGTGAAAATGTAGCAACCAAGACTGGAGACTGTGTTAGCATAGAAAAACTCCTCAGACAAGCAGAAAAAGCTTTTAAATCAGACAGTGTAATTGCTGCTGAAGATTTTATGGCTGTTCACATTCCCCTGAAACTTAAAGAATGGTGGATCTTGGGCCAATTATTATAAAATACATATGTTGTGGTATGAAAATTTCAAAGCAGTTTGGTTTTTATTTTTCATTCTCAGTTACAGTTAGACTGTTCACAACCTCTCTATATTTCAACGTATGTGAAGAATAATGTGAGCAAAGTGAGCATGAGTGCAAAAGCACAATGGAGTGGGGGTGGGGAGGCAAGCAAAGCAAGCTCTTTATTCTTCTCAGTTCCACCCCATACCCCGTCAAGCCATCCATTTTGCACTAGTGCCCAGTTCTCCTAAATATGAGAGTCACTTATAAAAGAAGATAGAACAATAGGTAACAAAATCTATGCAAAAAGTGGTAGCAGGATTATGTAATCTATCACTAGGCTAACAATAAACTTGTACAAAATCTTAAATGAATATTTACAAAACAAGTTGACAAGGTATAATATCCTATTGAGTTAACTAACAAATTTAAATATGCTGCTGCGAGTTTGCTATTAATAATTATAGTTTACAAGGGTATACCCCAACTAAAGCAGGAGAACAATATTTTTCAACATTTATCGTTTTCTTCCTTTTGAATGCTTTTTAGTTCAAACTGTGACTTCCCTATGACTGTTACTTAGTAGGATTTATGGCAACCTCCTTCCCAGGGTCGCTGCCTGGGAACGAGGTTTGGCACTCCACAAACAGTACCTTTCAAACTTATATGGGAATTATGTGTGGTTTTTAGGTCTCTCTATATAACTACTATTTTACACATATATGACATAATATGTGGTTAATTCTCCCACAGGTGTGACAGAGTTAATGAGTCAAAAGTTAATCCCATAGAAGAATTTTGGGCTTAAGCTTTATAATAACCACAATAGTAACATATTCATGCAGTGCCTTAATTTAGCATTCTAAGGGGCTTTACAAAGTGTTAAAGCTCAGTTCAACTTCTAAAACTAGTAATATACATACAAAAGTAAGACATGGAGAATTTAGCAATAAAATGAGTGAAATAAAAAAATAAAAAAACTAACTATACTAACCAATAAAACAAAGATAACACATGTTATGTAGAAAAAAACAGTTGAGATTAGTTTTAAAAGAACTCACAGTGTTAGTTTCTTTTAATACATACAGTACCATGGTAACCTGTTCCAAAAAAAAGGCAAATCTTCATATCACTATTGGTTAGTCCTGGGGATACATAAATGAGACATGCGGAATGTAGACCAATGGCCTTGCAGATGTGTATCTGTGTAGTAGATCAAAAATGTGCAGGCAGGTGCTAAATTTACTTTAATGCTTAATTACATCCTTAATTTAATAATGAATTTAATTATAGTGCACATGAAAGTATTAAAGAAGAAAAATGTTAAAAGTAATATGTTGTTCAACTGGCAGCCAGTGAAGATCCTTGAGTAATGGTACGGTGCAAGTTTTGCTAGAAATTATAGTAACATTTTTTGTTCTTCATATGGCTGGAAATTGAAATCCAGATGCACTGTAAACCCTCCCTTGGCATCTCCACAGAAATAATATGCAGGATATTGATTGTGTGGTTGCCTGTTTGGCCCCAATCCATCTTTTTCTTGCCATCTTTGTTCCCTGCTCAGGTTGTGAAAGCTATTTCTAATGTGACGTCCCAAGGTCCATCCGAAAGTAACACCAGCAGCCCCACTCCAGAGACCCAAGACAAAAGCGGAGGCACCAATGCATGCACCCACCCTAGCTCCTATCTGGGCTGGGCTGACCTGGGCTGACCTGGGCTGACCTGGGCTTCTAAGGATGAGCGAGACCCATTTGTAAATGACTCCAAAGGCAAAAAGTATGCTCTTTATAACTTCTTGAAGGCTAGCTACCAGACGCTCAATAGCGTCAGGATTCTCCAAAATAAGTTTCAATATTTCAACAACAGGAGGCAGTGCTATACCCAAGTTGTCCTGGTCAGGGTTCAGCACGGTGCTGGTTATGATCAAGAAGTTCCTGACATTCAAGATAGCTTCTTGGACCATCGGGGATTTTCCCTGAGGAGTCTGGAATTTCTTCCCGTCGTGAAAGGCACCCTCTAGCAGGCTGATCAGTGACGTGTATCCAGCAAAGTGGCCTGGTTCTGGCTTCTCTGCAATCGTGGAAATTTGAACGCTATACTTCGCCAAGACATCCGAAATGCTATTTCTTAACTCTTGCTGATGATGCAGGCAGAGGTACAGATCTCGTTTGCCACTTTTCGCTGCTGCGGGATTTATGTTGTCGCAGGAAGGGTGACAACAGACAACTTCGGTCGACATGAAGTTGGGATCAAACTGATGAAGCACGATATCTTCGTACCCCCCTACGTAACCAGGATTTCGTAAAGTCACTTGGTTGTCAAAGTTGACGCCAAAAAGCTTTCTAGCATCGTAAAACATGGAGTTGGTCACTGTCGGCGGCGGTGTGAGGATTCTGAAATTGCGAAGAAGACCTCGATGCCAAACTTGCACCGTCTTCGATTTCGATACTTCGCCGTTTATGAGGTCGGCAGCCGCTTTTGACTCTTCGTGCTCTTCAGCCTCTTCGTGCTCTTTTGTTTCTTCGTGCTCTTTTCGCTGTTCGTGTTCTTCAGCCTCTTCGTGCTCTTTTGGCTGTTCGTGTTCTTCAGCCTCTTCGTGTTCTTTTGGTTGTTCGAGTTCTTCAGCCTCTTCGAGCTCTTTTGGCTGTTCGTGCTCTGCAGCCTCTTCAAGGTCTTCAGCTTCTTGGGGTTCTTCAAGCTCTTTAGGCTCTTGAGGCCGCTGGCGGGGAAGGAGAGAAGCGCGTTCTAACTCTGCTATCGGTACTTCTGACTCTTCGAGAGTAAGGAGAGAAGGAAGGCAGTCTAACTCAGTTTTCAAATTCTCTTCAAGTTCTTCAGACTCCTCGAGAGGAAGGACAGGAGTGAGAATGTCTAATTCCGATCTCAAACACTCTAATCTGTCTCCAACCTCGAGTTGCTTGGGTCGCTTGGCTTTTGGTTTTCCTTTAGCGGCAGATCTATATCTATATACTACTACATGTTCTTCTGCCATTCTTGAATAAATTGAACACTAGTCGTTTCTTCTACCTTTCAGACAGGATGACCGAACGGAGAAGTATTAAAGCTTGTTTGCCTTGCAATACATTTTTACTTTCACTTTCGATCACCCTTATTCCGGGCATAAGGGCGATCGAAAGTGAAACTAAACATTGGCCGAGTCGTGGGGTTTTTCCCTATCAAGACAAGTTTAATTTGTTTTGCATATTCAAAAAAACCGTCAGATTCCTGTCATCAGTTGACTGCGCCAAGTGCGACCCGAGGACAAAAACTTGGCCACAGAGACAAATCTTCAAAGAACCTCAGAGCAGGACTTTTTACGAAAAAAACAAAAAAACATTAAATGTCTTTCTCGCAATTAAGCTGTCATTCAATTTCAAAAATCCCTGAAATTGTTCTCGCATTATATTTCATTCTTCACTGCGATCTTTACTGTGTTTCACGCGTGTCCAGTCATGAATATTCAGGTTTTCGATCAAATTTCCCCGTTTGGGTCAACGTCTCAGATAATTCTTACGATGAGCAGGCCGGGGCAGTTGTTCAGGGATCGCCATCAGTATAATGATAGACTCGACTGCAGCAATTTTAGCATCAAAATTTGCCCTGGAAGTGCTCGTATTTACGTGATACAAGAAAAGGCAGGTACAAAAGTCGGGCCGGATCAACTTGGATCGCTGATTTGAATAAGAATAGCCGGCCTATTCAAGAACGAGGCATACAGCAATTGTTGTTATTCTTATTCAAATCAGCGATCCGAGTTGATCCGGTCCGACTTTTGTTGTTTATTGAGAATAACAACAATTGTTGTATGCCTCATTCTTGAATAGGTGCTATTCTTATTCAAATCAGCGATCCAAGTTCATTCGGTCCGACTTTTGTACCTGCCTGAACCCAGAACAATCAGGACACTGGTGCGTATCAGTCACTGGAAAGCTGGCTCTTCTTTAGCCTGAAACTGTAAGAATATATCGTATATAAAGTAAATACACACTAAGTGATCTTGGTGTTTTTTAAGGCAGATGCACTCTCATGCTTGTCAAGAAAAGTGCTCTTCCCTCTCCTATGACGGTTTCTAGGGGAGGAGTCTTCTGTAGTTACGTACGTGCGAGATACAGCATCTACGTAGGAGGGAGAAGGAGCGATTTATGTGACCAAGGAAGCACAAAGAGCATCTGCGTAAGTGACCATTTGTGACAATGGACGGTCGGTAATGATCGAATTATCATGATAAAGCAATAAATCATGATGCCCCATGATATTGCGAGGAGAGGAAATCAGATTACGCTGTCAAAACATATAGAAATCCAACATAGATATATTTGCTTTAGTTCGTTTTGCATTCTGAGTCACAGGTTACTGTTCCACTTCATTAACCGTAACAAACACCTGCTGTTTTGTGTAAGATCACAACTGTAGTTNTCAGCGATCCGAGTTGATCCGGTCCGACTTTTGTTGTTTATTGAGAATAACAACAATTGTTGTATGCCTCATTCTTGAATAGGTGCTATTCTTATTCAAATCAGCGATCCAAGTTGATCCAGTCCGACATTTTGTACCTGCCTGAACCCAGAACAATCTGGATATTGGCGTGTCTCAGTCACTGGAATGCTGGCTCTCGGTAGCCTGAAATTGTAAGAATATATCGTATATAAATTAAATACACACTAAGTGATCTTGGTGTTTTTTAAGGCAGATGCTCTCTCATGCTTGTCAAGAAAAGTGCTCCTCCCTCTCCTTTGACGGTTTGTAGGGGAGGTGTCTTTACGTGCGAGATACAGCATCTGCGTAGGAGGGAGAAGGAGCGATTTATGTGACCAAGGAAGCACAAAGAACATCTGCGTAAGTGACCATTTGTGACAATGGACGGTCGGTAATGATTGAATTATCATGATAAAGCAATCAATCATGATGCCCCATGATACTGTGAGGAGAGGAAATCAGATTACGCTGTCAAAACATATAGAAATCCAACATAGATATATTTGTTTTAGTTCGTTTTGTATTCTGAGTTACAGGTTACTGTTCCACTTCATTAACCGTAACAAACACCTGCTGTTTTGTGTAAGATCACAACTGTAGTTAGAATTGAACTGTAATTACTACCTGCAATAGTCTTTTGATAAACTTTTATCTACCTTTATATAATAGTTAAATGAATGCGCGCGCTC